CATCGCACATGATTCAAGATGGAACTTTGAAAGCCCCAATTAGTAAGATGGAAGAAGACATCAAAGCGATTCCGCAACTTCGAGGAAAATAGCCTATTTTTCATATATGAAAAATGATCTGGGCGCGCAAGGCATCTCGGTTGAAAATGGGCCTTTAAAACTTTTCCTCAATCAATATCAATCAATCAATACTTTCTTTACCCACGTAGCGTCAAGGAGCTCGTAGAGCTCGTTCAAAATACGTACGTGACTCTAACGTAATAAAAACTGAATGTCATTTCGGGACAAATACATATTTATTTTATTGAACACATATTTTTCCGGCCCTTTCTAGGGATGATACAAGTGGGATTTATGTCCGACTTGATCTTTAATTCAAATTTGGGCGGTAGGAGATCTCGCTTCCCGCAAAGATCACGGGGGAGCCGTGAGTTACAAATAACTCCTCCAGCTTAAAGTGAAGTTTGTAAAAACAAGTTGTTCGTCATTATATTTCAACCATCTGCTCCTTTGACGGAAAAGGAAAGTTTTTGTTACGCTTTATTGCAATCATGGTACCGTCAGAATATTGTAATTACTCATTATTGCTGCTGTGAGTGAAGAGTTAGGTTATCTGATACTTCGCGAGGTTCACTCGAAATCTTGGACACTGAATTACTGCCTCGATTTTTTTTCTGAAAGGTGAAATTGTCTCTACTTGGGATTTCTAGGAGGGGGCGGGGAAGTTTTGTCATCTCAAAATCAAAGACTCGTTTTCGAGTTGAAGTATATAATAAGCCCTCTCCAGACCCCGTTGTCTTCGGACCTTTTTTCTAGAATGCGGCCGGATAGTTCTTGAAAACGGGAGCCTGGGCCGTCTGCATGCGCTGAGTGCATCATGGACTTTGTATAAGGGATGAGTGTCTGATAGATGACCCACAAAGAGTATGTTTCACTTAACAACTCTCATCCTCTGGCCTTGTGAAGTGAAGACTTGGTCTTATCGTAAAAAAAATGAAAGGAAGCAAAGAAAAACCCATGGAAGCCACCGTGTCTACCAACCATTTAAACAATGATGGTTTCTTTTTTATTACCACAGTTGTGCAGCAGTCCAGAACTTTTAAACAAGGAGCTTTACTCGACGTTTGTAAGAACGTACACCCAAAATACAAGACTTGCCGAGAGCGTTTGGCTATTACTTAAGGAGTTGAAATGGTACAAAGTGGGTATTGCGTACAAAGGAGTTCCTCCTTGGGTTGACAGAAAGGACAATATTATAAAGTATCTTAAGATGAATGGGGTTGAGATCCGAATCGAAAGAAAGATTCCACCTGAAGACATGAAGTACCAGGCCAAAGTCAAAAAGCTCATGGAAGAAATGAAACCTCAAGCGCGCAGTAAGTGTTTTTGGTTACGAGGTGGATTTAGGAAACGTTGCTTCTAGCTGTGTGCGTAAAGTTGGGGGGTGGTGGTGGGTTTGGATTCCTGGTCATTTGGAGCTTGTTTTTAGTCTAAAGGGGCATTTTGGGAGATGGGAGAGGCCTTCTCAGCCCATTTTGTCATAATGACCTGGCTCTTCGTAGAGATTCTGTGGTTCAGTGGTAGTACATCGTAGCGCCGAATTCAATGGTCTGAGGTTCGATTCCTTGGGACTTAAAATTGTTTTCTTTACTAATTTTTCTACAAGCGGAAACTTGTAAATTGTGTTGTCATCTGTGTGTTGTTCTTCAATTGATCATAAGTAAAAACCGATCAAAATACGTGGGTAATTCAGCTTATCATATAAAAATTTAACAATTGTTTCTTGAGCGCGGATTGGATATGAGATGGTAACTGCTCCGAGTTGGCTAAAACCAATCTCTTTTCCATCAAGCGCGAATGGAATAATTGTCTCATTAAAATTTATTAAATCCTAAACGTTTGGTTATTTGGAGTCTTTTTTTCAGCTCTGCAACAGTTGGCGACAGGTGACTTTGAATATGGGCTGATAACTAGAGTTGAGTGAACGAATTAGAACACTCGAAATGCAATAGTCGGAGTTGGAAATTTAACAAAAGGAGGTATACACATTATTCTCTTTTTTTGTTATTGCAGTCATTATCATTGTTGCCGATTTCTTCTCTGCCCGCGAGTTGATTCGTCCTGCTCACGAGCTCGGTCTTACCAATGGTGACTATGCGTTTATAATGTTCGAACTGGAGTACAGTGAAGTCTTGCGGAAACGGGAATCTCCTCATTCTTGGTTCCTCGTCGCCTCGGATGAATCCGATTATAAGTTCCGATGCAAGTTTCAGGAAGGTTTTGAATCCGTGCTCACGTTAGCACTAGACGTCGACGAAAACGAAGAAGCCTACGTCAAATTTCAGACCGACGTCAAGAAACGTTCACCTGAAGTGCCTTTTCCAGATAGTGCCGCCTACGAAGGGCATATTTTTGACAACCCCTCAATGTCTCCGCGAAATGCGACTCAAGTAAGTATCCGATTTCTATAACTAAACAGATAGACTGAGCTAAAAAGCGTCCGCGTTTGAGAACGAATACCTATGGATCAGAAACGTTTTTTGCTACAGTTTACACTTGAGGTACTACCTGGCCGACCACTTTGTTCTAGGGTAAAATTAGCCTCCAAAAGATATTTCATAGCATCGTCTCGTGAAGAAGCCTCTGGGAAAACATAACTGATCCACGTAGGTCTTCACCACAGCTTACCAATAGCGAAAAAATATCGCTGTATGCAATTTTTGTAAACCTCTGCCGTTTTTTTATTGTTTCTAGTCTCCCTGCTTCCTTCCGCGAAAATTTAGGGTAAGGGCTGGCGTATTTCAGGTCTTTATTTCTTTCTTCGAGCATAGGTCTGCAGTTTTCCTCCGTCCTCTAAAACACAACCTGTGCGACCGGGAAAAAAGTGGTGAAGAGGATTTTGGAGTTGAACACAATTTTTTTCGATTTAATTATTTATACAATGTTGTCCCTGCCGGTTGGCGAAGCTAAATAAAAGAAAAATAAAATAAAACTAAAGTCAATAACTCGAACAAGACACCGTGACCCTTCGAACTCCCGCTCTTTCTCCCATACATGCACACTCTCTCGGTCACCTGACCACTGTTTATAATCCCGGATGTCCACAGGACACCACACTATCCACTTTGTAAGAGCAGTGATTGTTATGTTTCAAAAGAAACCGCCTCCCGGTTAGCTCAATGGATAGAACGCTGGACTGTTGTGCGGGAGGTCGAGGGTTCGAGCCCCGGCCGGACCAACACTCANGCCTTTCTATAACATCAAGAAATGGTTAGATATTCTAGTCTTCTCGGATAGGGACGAATAAATGGAGGTCCCGTCTCCTGCAGGGTTGGGGTAGGAGACGTTAATTTCCCACACACGAGATTACTGTGTGATGGATGTCCTCCCCTGGGGTGGGATGGGTGGGTTTATTGGGCCCGCAGTAATCGGCGCAAGCTGTTGCGGTGTCCCTGCCGGTTGGCGAAGCTAAATAAAATAAAATAAAGTATTTAACATGGAAAGGGAGTAATTCCTCTTGGGGATGCGAGTTCTTAACTCATAATTTTATAAGTTTACTAACGAAAGAATAAAGTGGTTTACCTCATAACCTGAATGTCAGCAGAATCATTTTACCGTTCCTTTAAAATCTTCATCAGCATTTCTTTACCCCACTGTGGCATCTGACTTAAACATTTTTAGGATTAATGCGTTCAATTTCAACTTGCAGCCTCCGATGTATGCAGCTTTCCTCTACGACGCAGTTTACCAATATGCCATCGCATTGAACAAAACATTAGCGCGGAACGAGCAACCAAACGGGAAAAACATTATTTCCAAGTTACTGAACAGGGAATATAACAGTAAGTAGTCTGGAGACAGTCGACGTTTCATGGAAAACTGGAAGGGCTTAGATCGTATTCACCTTAGAACATTTCCACCCTTTCGGTTAGTCTTTGATTGTGATAAAAAAAAAACAATTTTTTTTATTGCCGACGACACATTTAAATTGAACAATGCTAGCCACAAGCTTTCCCAAATTTTCAGCTCTACTTTCTTTTCTTGTTACTCGCCGTAAAGAATCTTTTCTTCCATTCCTTTGGCAGGTATCAGTGGTCAGCGGGTTTTCATCGACAAGAATGGAGCTGCTGAAGCTGACTTGGTTCTTTTGGACGTACGTTGGCAAGTCACAAGTACGTATTATGACTTGTTTCATGATCGACTGAAGCAGGTTGTTTATACGTTTAGAGAAGTCATGCATTACTAAGATGGTTATATAGCCTGCTAGTTGTATCTCAACTTACGACATTGACGCCTCTCGTTTTGAAATTCCTAAGAGTCTTGAACTTTGCTGTATGAACAAAATGTAGGAAATTTTCAATGACGAACGCCGCTAATTTAGAATCGTACCCGTTATATCTGAATCAGCATAGTGCCACTTTTCCTTTTTCCACAGCTTGGTGATCGTTTTAAACAATTAGAAATTAAACAAACACAGAAAGGTTGCTCTTAAGAATCTCGAAACACTGTCAGTTCCGTTATTTATTTTTCGGTTATTTTTAAAAAATTAATCCGTCGACGATTGCTTTGTTTCTTGAGACAAGGACTGATTCACGCAGTTTTTCCTGGCTTTTACAGGGGAGAATTGCCCAGCGAATGCCTCTAACACGGCAACCATGGAACCGGTTGGAAACTTTAAGGTCACTTATACCAACAATAGCGACGTCAGCTTTAGCTTCAAGCTCTCTCGGGATAAAAAGATCGAATGGCCAGGAGGTTCGCCACCTAAGGATAGCCCAAAGTGCGGCTTTGATAACGAGAAATGCATCCCACGGAAGACTCCTGTTGGAGAAAGTGGTACGACGATTTATTACATGGCTGGCTCTGCAATTCCAATCTTTCCCACTTAGTACACGAAAATACGAATCGATTCAAATGATGTAATCTTTAGGCCCTAGGATAATTTTTTTTTTTGTCCGAGCTGTGCTAGATATTGATATCGCTGTTTGTGTCGTAAATCTAGACTTCGTCTCGACCTCTAAAAACGAGGCGACCTCACGCTGGGTGAAAAAAAAAAAAAACCGGCTTTGATCCGTGTGTATAGGTGGATTGAAAATGTGTTTTTGTACATTATGGTTAAGAAACCAAATTTTTCTCAATGAGTTTGACACGTTTTTATCCAAGTGATAGTTCACTGAACTCCGGTTCCAGAAAGTCCCTTGTACAGCCCGACTTAGATAATTACGTTGTGTTCTTTGCTATGACGCTTCACTCGTAAAGCTTTCCGCTCACCACCCAGCCGGATAAATGTTAGATAGCCATTACTTTAAGTTGAACCACGCTGCTGACACAGAGATTTAAAGAAATTTGGCAAAGTTAAATAGAACTTGTGTGTTTATTTCATATCTCTAAATTTCTCTTTGCTCCTTTAGTAAAAATGGCGATCATTGCTGGAATATCTGGCTTTGCTGGTCTTCTCTTGCTCCTGTTTTTCGTCAGCAGGATAAGGTTGGTTTTGCTGTTTATTAAATGCATCGCCCTTGTGATGAGATCAAATCAATCAAGATTTCTTTTTATGTTTCTGTTCTCCAAAACGAAAATTATCTTCAAATTTGTCGAACGCTCGGCAGCCTGGCCTCACATCTCTGACGTAATAAGGTGTCAATCCTCTCTCCTCCAGTCGCGGTCTGGTCACGTGCTGTGCACTTTGTCCAACCATGCAATATCGTAATTACTCATTTTAGATTATTGGTCTCGTGTCTTAGTATTCATTTTCAAATAATGAACCGTAAGGTTCTCTTTAAAATGATTCTGCTCTTCACTTTTCTATTTTTGTTTTGTTTTGTTTATTTTCTTCAGACAAATTAAGTTAGAGAAAGAGCTGAAGAGTTTACTGTGGAAAATAAACTACGACGAAATTGCCCTTAAAAGACCACATACAGGCCCTGCCGTATTTACAGATGATGACAACTTGGATTTAATCAAAGACATGGAGGTATGTGCGGAATTTTGATAATGGTGATGATGTTGACCACTAAGACGAAGATGTTGACGATAGTACCAATGGCGATGGGGAATTTGATTTCACGACGGCATTTAGTCGATATCGCGCTTTATTGCATTCATTTTGAAATCACCGGTGATTCTAGTAATCTGATTGGCTCTCATAGGTGCGATTTATTCACGACTGTCTTACATCGATTTATCGTCTCTTCTTTCATACTGAAAGAAACAGTTGAAGAACAAACCATATATCTATGAGTTTGCAAGAGATCCTCTCGAAACCTGTTCGATGTATTAACTGGTCAAGCAGTGACGCGGGGTTGTGGCTTCGATGAAAAATTCAGAAAAGCATGACTCCTTGGAAGTTGAAGAGCGTAAGATGTTTCTGTTAGTGAAAAAAAAAACACTGTTACTACACAAAGACAAAATATTCAAGTCCAGTAACTGTTTACCTATTAGAGGTTAAAATACTTACTAAAAATGCCTTGACTAAAAGTTTAAACAACGACAATGAGGTGGAAGAATTAGTTCCAATCACTTTTAAAATGGTCGCGTATTCATTTTTAAATGGTGTTTGTTTTTGTTTTGTTTTGTTTAGTTTTTGTTTGAGGGATACACATCAATTGATCCATAATGTTCTTGACTTATTAAGAGACGCAGGGTGGCCTCATGGTTAGTGCGCTCAACTCCGGATCGAGTGGTCCGATTCGAGCCCTGGCCGGGGACATTGTGTTGTGTTCTTGGTCAAGAAACTTTACTCTAACAGTGCTAGGTGTTTAGATGGGTACCGGCTAATTAAATGCTCTGAGTAACCCCGCGATGGACTGGCATCTCATCCTGGGGGAATGGAAATACTCCTGGTCGCTTCATGCTACGGAAACTGGAATTAAGCGCCAGCCCAGTATGGACCTCTTAGCTCGTAAACGGACTTTACCTTAACCTTTACTTTTGAGTCAATATTTTCGTTCTGAATCCCTCACAGGAAGCGGAAACACCATTGCTGATGGATTCATTCATGAATGGTGACATCATCGGCGACTCCACCCGCTTTGGTATTTTTAAGGTGAGGTTTTTACACGTATCGAAGTCAGGTGCTTTACCTGTAGGTAAATTCATTTCATACTTTTTCTAATGTACTCTGGCTTACTGTTTTCGTACCAGGGAACGTCTGTTGTTGTAAAGCGAGTTGGGACAAAGAATGTTGACTTGACACGTTCAGTGCTTCTTGAAATGAAACAGGTAAGTTAAGTCATTATAGATTCCACTGCTCGATATTTGGCATTCGGTTGTTATGTTGTTCATATCGCACAGAATGCCGTGACACATCCGGGTACTTTAAAACTCCATCGGCGGTAAAAATGAACGGCCCTCCAAGAAAAGAGAGCGAAACAGTTGAGTAAATGGCTATAAATCGCTTACTTGCTTATAAATCGTTTTTTACTTATAACAAAAAACTAGTACTAGTTGCAAAATGAACTAGTTGCAAACTAGTACATGTCGCGAAAGACATTAGCATTGAAATATTTACCTTAAATAATCAATTGAAATTTTAATTGTCTCTTACGATCTTTTTGTTGTTGTTTTATTTTCACGCAGATGCTTGATATCCGTCACGATAACCTTTCGCACTTTATCGGGGCTACCGTTGATCCTCCGAACAATTGCATCGTGTCTGAGTTTTACTCTCGCGGGAGTCTTCAGGTAAGTTTCCAATGTCGCACGGTTGCCGTTGGCTCACGCAGTAG